AATGTGATTATATATTGTGCTTCCTGCTTCAGATCTGATTATTTCTCTTAAAAAACATAGGAATCTTCCAACAACTAAAGTGGTCCAATAATGGAATGGGCTGCCTCAAAAGCAGTCGGGCCTCAACTCTGGAAATGTTTAAGTGAAGGTTTGACAGGAGTAGCTGTGAAAGCGATTTCTGCAGTAGGGAGGCACTTAGGCCCGGAGATTTTTAGGGATTCCATGCACTAGAGGCCTTGGCAAAGTTTCCTCTGTGAATTGCAGGAACTCCTGGGCAGGTGGTTCCCTCCCTTCCTATCTCACCCTCTTACTAAGCCCCACGATGCCATTTGCTTGGCTCTCCCTGGAGGGGCTCTTGGGCCAGACAAAGTGAAATCAGCATCCTTCTCTGCTCTTCTGCCAGCATTGTTACCAGCCTCAGGGGAACCATCTTACTTGCAAAGGCTGTCATTAGTGGAAGGATTTTACTTCCAAGCTGTGACCTAATTGGTTTTATTCTTAATACAAAAGAGAGAGTATTCCATTTCTATTCTATTGCCATCTTACAGCGGGCACTTGGGTTTTTAATTTAGCGTTGTATGGCTGGTTGTTTTGTTCAGGTGTGTGTCCATGTGTGCACATGCACATGTGTAGTGTGAGATTTTTAATTGCCCAAATCATCCTAATGCAAGTGTTTCCGCATTTTGAATCTCACATTGACTAGTGTGCGTCGGTAAGTGGGCAAGGGCCTGGGCTGGCAGATTGTTATGTAGTGAGAATCTGGTTAGTCAAAGTGTGTGTGTCACAAAGGAATCCAACCTTTATTTTATCAACTTAATTTAATTTTTAGATTTCAATTACGAAATATTTCAAGAATACAAAGAAGTACAGAAAAATATAATTGACCCCCCATCTGTTGTTCAGTCATTCACTTGATTGAACAAATGTGTAATATTTGCCATATTTACTTCCTACTTCCTTTTGTAGGAAATAAAATATTAAAGGCACTGTTAAAACCCAATAGACTCATCCCTTTCAGATCCCTCTCCATGGGCGAACCACTAACCTGAAGTTGCATGTTTTCATATTTTTACTATATATATGAATGCTGCCATAAATAATACTTTGTTTTGCTTATTTTAAAGACTTACAAAATCTGGCTGGGCATGGTGGTTCACTCCTATAATCCCAGCACTTGTTGGGAGGCTGAGGCAGGTGAATCACTTGAGGTCAGGAGTTCGAGACCAGCCTGGCCAACATGGTGAAACCCCTTCTCTACTAAAAATACAAAAAATTAGCCAGGCTTGGTGGTGCACACCTGTAGTCCCAGCTACTTGGGAGGCTGAGGCAGGAGAATCACTTGAACTTGGGAGGTGGAGGTTGTAGTGAGCCAAGATCGCAGCACTGTACTCTAGCCTGGGCAACAGAGGGACACTCCGTCTCAAAAAAAGAGAAGATTTACAAAATGGCATCATACTGTCAATATCATTTGCAGCCTTCGTTTTTTACATAATACTGTGTTTGTGAGATTTATCTGTGATTTATCCATGTTGCTTTCATAGATTCCTTTGGAATAGTATATACTATCCCATAGTATGAAATGGTACAATTTAGCCATTTTCCTAACTAGACATTAAGGTTGTCCTTTCCCCCTACCCATACCTCTTTTGTTGCTATTGCAAGTAAGACTGCAATGAAACCCACAGACTTGCTTCCGTCCCTGTATGCAAGTGTGAGAATATTCTGAAAACACAGATCTTGAAGTAGAATTGAGGATCCATAGGGTGTGGAACTTCATTTTATAAGCTGAGAATAAAGGGTATTTTAATTGTTAGTTTATTTTTAAAAATTGTGGTAAAATATATACAACAAAAATTCACCATGTTAGCCATTTTTAAGTATACAGTTCGGTGGCATTAAGTACAGTCACGTTGTTGTGCAACTGCCACCACCATTCATTTCTGGAACATTTTCCTCTTCTCCAACTGGAACTCTACACCCATTAAGCAATTAAGTCCCTAGTCAACCCTCTCCCTAGCCTCTTGTTTTTGTCTTAAACAGAAGAAGTCAATATCACTCCTTCATTAATTCCGTAAACATTTACTGAGTATCTAGCGTGTGTCAAATATATAAATAGGAAATTATATGAATAAAATTTAGTTTTTGCCATCAAGAAACTCCCACCCTAATTGTTGGAGCCCAGGAGTTTGAGGATACATTGAGCTATGATCATGCCAGTTGCACCACTGCACTCCAGAGTGAGGAACAGAATAAGACCCTGCGTCTAAAATAATAATAATAGCAATTTTAAAAATTGGCTAGAGGCTGGGCCTGATGGCCTTCCAGTACTTTGGGAGGCCGAGGTGGGTAGATCACCTGAGGTCAGGAGTTTGAGACCAGCTTGGTTAACATGGTGAAACGCCGTCTCTACTAAAAATACAAAAATTAGCTGGGCGTGGTGGCGCATGCCTGTAGTCCCAGCTACTTTGGAGGCTGAGGTGGGAAAATTGCTTGAACCTGGGTGGTGGAGGTTGCAGTGACCCAAGATCACACTATTACACCCCAACCTGACCAACAGAGCAAGACATTGACTCAAAAATAAATAAATAAATAAATAAATAAATAAATAGGCTAGGAGTGGTGGTTTATGCCTGTAATCCCAGCACTTTAGGAGGCCAAGGTGGGAGGATCACTTGAACTCAGGAGTTTGAGACCAGCCTGGACAGTATAGCAAGACCCCATCTCTACTAAAGAGTGCCTGTAGTTTCAGCTAGTTGGGAGGCTGAGGTGGGAGCATTGCTTGAGCCCAGGAGATCAAGACTGCGTGAGCTATGATTGTACCACTGCACTCCAGCCTGGGTAACAGAGAGAGACGCTGTCTTAAAAAAAAACAACAAAGGAACTCCTATTCTAGCTGAAGAGAGACATAAAAACAATTATATGGGACATGTTGTAGAAGCCAAGTGCTAGGAGATCCCAGAGTTACAGCAATGAATTCATGGGTGGGAATGAGGTGAGATGAGGTGGAGAGTGGAAGATAAGAAAATCCTCAGAAAAAAAATAATTTTTAAGCTGAACTTTGAAGCATGAAATACAGTTTTTTCCAGGCAACAATGGGGTTAGGGTATGGATTTGTGTAAGTGTCTTCAATCAATCAAGAACTATATTGGTATCAGTCAGGGCCTAACCAACATAAGAGATACCACCGTAAGTATGTGAAACAGAGGAGATTCCCAGTTACACAGGGGATGGAGGAGATGAGGAGCCAAACAGGAGATGATGATGCCATTCAGAGAATAGCAGCAGAAAGAATACCCTACAATCCTTAGGTGAGAGTCAAGGGAAGGAGGTGGTGTCACCAGAGCCAAGGGCTGGGATCACCCGAAGGAGGCTGGAATCACAGCTGGTCTGGCTGATAGCAATTGGAGCCATGCTGGAGCCATTGCCTCCCCTGGAGATAGAGAGGGAGGGGGTCAAACACTCTGGCTTTTCTTCCCACCACAGTTCACTTCCCATTGTCTGAAAGAGCAAAAGTAGCACACTGAACTAATCCAGAGAGAGTAAGCACAGAAAGCAGCTACCACCCCTAGGGTGGGGGGCAGAAGGGACAAGAAGTAGTTTAGGGACATCAGAATTAGAACATCAGAGGAGAGGCCACATGGAGCTGGTGTCCAGACTTCTTTTTTCTTGTCTTGTCTTGTCTTCTTCTTTTAAATACAGATGAGGTCTCACTATGTTGCGCAGGCTGGTCTCAAACTCCTGGGCTCAAGTGATCCTCCTGCTTTGGCCTCCCAAAGTGATACCAATTGGGGTCACTAACCTGAGACACTGAGGTTGTAGGTTTTATAGGACGTGGTATGGGCTTTGAGTCTTGACCAAAATATGACACTGATTTCCCCATAGACATATGGGTCTGGAATCAAGGAGTAGATGTAGGAGAACCTCCATGAATTATTACCTTTGTTAAAACAAAATTATAAATGGAGACTGGGCCTAAAAAATTCCTGAGCAGGCCAGGTGCTGTGGCTCACACCTGTAGTCCCAGTGCTTTGGGAGACTAAGCTGGGAGGGTCACTTGAAGCCAGGAATTTGAAACCAGTCTGGGCAATATAGTTAGCTGTGTGTGGTGGCATGCCCTTGTAATCCTAGCTACTAAGGAGGCTCAGGCAGAAGGATGGCTTAAGCCCAGGAATTCGAGGTTATAGTGAGCTGTAGAGACCCCCTCTCTAAGAAAAGAAACAAAATTCCTGAGCAAATAAAACCAGCTAGGCCTTAAAGTAGCCTTAACCTTGCTTAGGCTGTGAACATCAGTGAAACTTAACTTGGGTCAAAACTGTAAATATAGGTAAAACTTAACTTGAGTCATTTCTGGTGCATGCTTATGTTAGGCAGAAAACTTAACCTCAGCCAATCATAAGCAGCCAATTTATATGATTATGTCACTAAGGACTTTCCAACAAAAAAGGCAATTTTGTAATTGCAAACATAATCAAATAATTTTTAAATTTTGCTTCTGAATTTACCCCCAAAATACTTGCCCCTGATGATTTGTCATTGGAATACTAAACCTGTTTTGGTCCAGTGTACCCAATTCATGAATTACTTCTTACTCAAATAAACAGTTTGCAATTTTATTGTGCTTCAGGTTTTTCATTTGCAGTTTGGTGTCAAAATAGGGATCCAAAGGTGACAATCACCCCCATCCCACTGCTATAGTTTGAATGTGTCCCCGACTGTTTGTATGTTGTGAACTTAATTCCTAAAGCAGTGGTGTTGAGAGGGAAGACCTTTAAGAGGTGATTATTAGGTCACGAGGGCTTGCCCTCATCTATGGGGTAATGCTGTTATAGGCAGAGTGGGCTAGTTATCAGGAGAGTGGGTTCCTGAAAAAGGATGAGTTCAGCTCAAGAAGGCCCTTGTCAGATGCAGGCCCTTTGACTTTGGACTTCCCAGCCTCCAGAACTATGAGAAATAAATCTCTGTTCTTTATAAATTATTCAGTCTGTGGAATTTTGTTTTAGCAACACAAAATGGACTAAGACACCGAGCAACCCCCAGGAGCATCAAGGAAGGAGGCATGAGGTGCCTGCTGAGCCCACCATGCTCACTGCTTTCTCACTGCATCTGGAGGTCCTGAGTGAGTATCTCTTGGATTTTGATCTCCACAGTTTGTGTCCTGAGTTCTCCAAGTTTGAGTAATTTTATTTATTTTATTTTATTTTATCTGATATGGAGTCTTGCTCTGTTGCCCAGGGTGCAGTGCAGTGGCGCGATCTAGCTCACTGCAACCTCCGCCCCCTGGATGCAAGCAGTTCTTGTGTCTCAGCCTCCTGAGTAGCTGGGATTACAGGCACACGCCACCATGCGCAGCTAATTTTTGTACTTTAGTAGAGACAGGGTTTCTACATGTTGGCCAGGCTGGTTTGGAACTCCTGACCTCAAGTGATCCACCCACCTCAGCCTCCTAAAATGCTGGGATTACAGGCATAAGCCACTGTGTCCATCTGAGCAGTTCTATTTTATTTAATTAATTAATTTATTTATTTCGAGACAGGATCTCACTTTGTCACCCCGGCTGGAGTACAAGGGTGTGATCATGGCTCACTGCAGCCTTGAACAAAGCAGGGTTCAAAGCAATCCTCCCATCTAAGCCTCCAGAGTAGCTGGGACTACAGGTACATGCCACCATGCCTGGTTAATTTTTTTAAAACATATTTTTTCGTAGACATGGGGGCCTTGCTATGTTGTCCAGACTGGCCTTGAACTCTTGGATTCAAGTGATCTTCCTGCCTCAGCCTCTCAAAGTATTGGGATTACAGGAGTAATTTTATTTTTGACTGGACCCAGAGGTTGAACGGGGTGTCCAGTGGGAACTGGACTGGGTTCAGTTGGAGGCTTCAGGTAGGTAAAATTTTAGAGGGACAGTGTATGACGTGTTCATCAGCATCTAAGGAGTCTGAGAGTCCTCTGTCCACAGGTGTTCACAAGCCAATAGTATGTTCAGAAATTATGGACCCCAAATCTGTGGTTTTCTAGAGAAATGAATGCACCTTGCTAGAGACCATTTAAAGTGGCAGTGGGATGGGTTAAAACTTTTTTTTAAAAAAAACTAAAACTTAATTCCTAGGTTCACAATAATGAGAAGTTTTGAGCTGGATAAAACTGTTCAGTTATGGGGCACATTGGAAAAGGAGGGATCACACATATCTCAGAAACAATGGAATGCATTTCCTGTTTGGTAGACGAAGGCTTCTAAAAGGTTGACTGGTTCCAAAATTGCCTCTCAAAAAGACTCCTTTTTAAAGGCAAATAAGGAAACTGAAAAGCTTAAGAGATGAATTAAAGATGAAAATAAAAATAATTTTATGGTAACTGACATGACTTTGACCATTTCCTCCCTTTATCCTCAATGTATTTGTTCACCCATTTTCTCAGCCTACACCTACTAATCCTTTTGCCCAGTTATGCTTATACCCTGAAGATGATGAGCGATGGGAAGTTAGGCCCTCAGAACAGCCACGTCTGGTTCCTATAACTACTTTTGCTCAAAACCGAGTAAAAAAACTGGTGAAAAATTGAACTCAGAGTCATAGCAAAAGATTTTCCAAACCTTAGAGAAAACCCCAAAAAATTTGCTGAGGAATTTAGAATTCTCACAGGAGTCCGTGACTCTGGACCTCCCAATTTGTGTCAGATTATACACATGAGATGGGACCCGGGGAGGCAAGTAACTGGATGGCCACAGCACGATGGGATACGCTTGAGGAAGTACTGCCAGCCATGCAAGTGGTACTTCTAGGGTGGCCCAAAGATGCCAGAAAAATGGCTGGAAAACTTTAGAAGCTATCCCCATTGTCTTTCCATAAAAGTTTCACTGCTCCATTATTCAAACATGTGTGAAAGGAAAATAAAAAACTCGGGACCCCAATTCACCATGCTAAAGGAAAAAATCAAGCTGAAAGCTGAGTCATGCAAGAAGCTGCCTTTTCTTTTGTTCCTAAGCAGATAGCTACAGATAAAAGGTGAAATATCTCCACAGGGGCCTTATCTTATATAACCTGTCCATTTACAGAGTGCGAGATGAATGCATAATCAACTATCACCCTACCTGCTTCTTTTCTCTTGCAACACCTGGATTACCATGCCCTCCCTTTTTCCCCTCCAGCTCGCTTTTGCCCCTTAAATACTGAAGCACTCAAAATCATCTTTGGACAAAGGCACAGACCACAGACTGTTTCTATAAGTCCATGTTTATTTCTTCCAGGCATTGTCCCTAACCTTGGCAAAATAAACTTCTAAGTTGATATCCAATATGTATATGTGCATATTTAAAGGGACTTTATGCTTTTTTTTTTTTTTTCTCTCTCTCTCTCTCCCAGGATCTTGTTTTTTGAGAAAAAGTTTGTTTTTTTTTTTTTTTTTTTAAATTCTCAGTCAACTGAATTCTGTTCTCTCCACTTACTTCTGCCTGTCTCTCCTTCCTTTTGCCATCCTCTACTGTATGAGGAACCTAAACTAATTTCTAACAGCCTGGGAGTCCTTGACGAAAACAGAGAAGGTGCCAGACTCCTTTTTGGGGAATTTTCCTCTGTGTTTCCTTATGGAATCCCAAGAGGATGAACAGACAATTTCTGCTCAGATCTTAAACTGCTTGTTTTTGTATTGTGTTGTCTGATTTTTCTTTTGACTCAAATAGTTATATAAACCAAAAATACAATTCTAAGTGCCCCCCAACCAACTGGTGGACCCTCCCCTTGGCCAAGGGTATTCCAAAGTTAACCTGAAAAACTAGTTCAGGTCATGATGGGAAGTGGGGATCGGATATTATATCCTCCTCCCTTTGGAATTCAGGCACAGCTGGCCAGCATTAGCATTAAAGCAGAGACCTTAAGGCTGATAGAACAGAATTTTTTTTTTTTTTTTGAGATGGAGTCTTGCTGCTACCCAGGCTGAAGTGCAGTGGTGCTATCTTGGCTCACTGCAATCTCCACCTCCTGGGTTCAAGTTATTCTCCTGCCTCAGCCTCCTGAGTAGCTGGGATTACAGGCACACACCACCAGGACTTTCTAATTTTTGTATTTTTAGTAAAGATGGGGTTTCGCCATGTTGGCCAGGCTGGTCTTGAACTCCTGACCTCAGGTGATCCGCCCACCTTGGCCTCCCAAAGTGCTAGGATTACAGGTGTGAGCCAACATGCCGGTCCAGAACAGACTTTTTAACTCTGATAAGAAACACAGTCTATTTTCTCTGAAGCTTGAAGGCTTCATCTGCATAACAAGAACCTTGGTCTCCAAAACTACCTATCTTAATGCAGACACTCCCTTCTATTGATTCTAGATCTTTAGATGAACTCTTTCAACTAATTGCCAGTCAGGAAATCTTTGCATCTACCTATGACCTGGAAGCCCAATCTTACCCCCACCACCAGCTTCTTCAAGTTGTCCCACCAATGTACATCTTATATGTATTGACTAGTGCCTTATGTCTCCCTTAAATGTATAAAACTAAGGTGTAGCCCAACTACTTTGGGCATATGTTGTCAGGACCTCCTGAGGCTGTGTCCTGGGAATGTCCTTAACTTTGCAAAATAAACTAAATTGATTGAGACTTGTCTCAGATACTTGTTGGTTTACGGTTATTTACAAGAGGGGCTGCTCTTGGGTGTTTAAGATAAGAAAGGGCGTGGTTTAGACACTTAGAGAAAAGTCTTTGTAACAAAGTGCACTGTAAAAGCATAATGTGGCCTAGTCCCACCACAGCTGTCTTTTTTTTGGAGACCCAGGATTCCCTGTGAGCTCTGCTCAGAGCTCAGAGATCCAGTTAAAAGATAGAGGCTAATTTTAAAACTACTTGTCTAAATTAAAGTGATCTCCTTATACAATCCTGTGGTAGATTTCTATACTTTTACGTTTGACTTGCCAGGCATTTTTAATCTTTCTCTAACACACCACACACACTCTCTCTCTACTTTGAGATATAAATGTTGCTATCTGATTTTCACCTAAGAGTTGTTCCTTTAGTATGCACATTCAGGGCTGTCTTACTGACAATTGCCTGGGCTAATGAAACAGGTTATCAAAAAATTGGAAGTCTTGGCTGGGCATGGTGGTTCCTGCCTGTAATCCCAGCTATTCAGGAGGCTGAGACAGGAGAATCACTTGAACCCAGGAGGTGGAGGTTGCAGTGACCTGAGATCATGCTACGGCACTCTAGCCTGTCCGAGACACTGTCTCACAAAAAAAGAAAAAAAGAAAGAAAAAGAAAGAAAAATAAACAAAACCCAAGAAATTGGAAGTCTAAAGTAGGAGGACAAAAGGGGTCTTTGGTTGGGTGCGGTGGCTCACGCCTGTAATCCTAGTACTTTGGGAGGACGAGATGGGAGGATTGCTTGAGGCTAGGAGTTTGAGACCAGCCTGAGCAACATAAGGAGACCCCATCTTTATGAAAAATATAAAAATTAGCCGGGTATAGTGACACATGCCTGTAGTCCCAGTGTTAGGCAGGGATCTAGACCCGACATGGCGGCGCCACCCGGCGTAGCAGGCCCTCTGTTCGAGACTTCCCTTCCTCTTTGAACACACCCGCAGACTTGCATACGTCAGAGGTTCCGGCTGGGCAACCACACTCCCCCATGACCTGCAGCTCACCTGCATTCCACAAGTTCCTAAACAGCAGTTTCGGTTAACAGTTTCCAAAGACCCCTTCCTCATGACCTTTACTCAACTCCTGCCCTAGTAGTTTCAAGACCCCCCAGGCCCTCTTTGTACAACTAGCTTCCCTACCTCTCAGGCTATAAAAAAAAGCCCCTACCCTCCTCCCTCAGTGCGACTTCCTCACCTGCACCTTCGGACCGAGGAACCTCACCTGCGAGTCCTAATAAAGGCTATTCTCACTGCCATTTGCCTTGTGTTTTTGTTCCCGGTTCGGCTCCAGCCTCAGTTTACCTTTACACCCAGATAATGCAGGAGGCTGAGGCAGAAGGATTACTTGGGCCCACACGGTCAAGGCTGCAGAGAACTATGATTGTGCCACTGCACTCCAGCCTGGGTGACAGAGTATGAGACCTTATCTCAAAAAAAGGGTGTCTTATGAATCTTTTTTTTTTTTTTCTTTTTAGATGGAGTCTTGCTCTGTTGCCTGGGCTACAGTGGCACCATCTTGGCTCACTGCAACCTCTACCTCCTAGGTTTAAGTGATTCTCCTGCCTCAGCCTCCCAAGTAGCTGGGATTACAGGCGCCTGCCACTATGCCTGGCTAAGTTTTGTATTTTTAGTAGAGACGGGGTTTTATTATGTTGGCCAGGCTGGTCTCAAGCTCCTGACCTCAAGTGATTTGCCTGCCTCAGCCTCCCAAAGTGCTGGGATTACAGGTGTGAGTCACCGTGTCCTGCCAAAAGGGAGTCTCATGAATCTACAAGATCTACTTCTACCTGTGTGTCTGATTCATCTATGCATTTGTGTTGTGTATACGTTTCACTACCTGAAATACATAAAAGAGCTCTGATTAGCTTAAAGAAAAAAAAAAGAGGCACTTAAATCAAATATTTTATCAGAAAAATAGAGACTTTAAGCTCAAATGCTTTTTCAGGTTCACAGGACTCATAAATCTTTAATAAATAAGCTGGTTTAAAAATTATTGGCAAAATAAAATTAGAAAAGCCTTCTGAATTGTCAACATACATTATTGTTTAGATTTATTGGTCAAGCGGTTTTATATTTATCTCTGCTAAATATTATAAGGTGTCAAAATTTGGCATGAGGGCTATAAAGCTATAAATGTAGCCCAAAAGAGAATTACCTTTAATGTTGTTGCTTTAATGAAAACAATGAAATTCCGAGTTATTGGCAAAAAAAAAAAAAAAAAGTCCATTTATTTAACCTCGAGGTTCTTACTTATGTAAATAACTGAAATTCATAGGTTGTAAAAATGGTTACCAGGGAAGTAACTTTAAGTGATGACTATTGCAGTTTTCAGAAGTAATCTCCTCAGGTTCTAACTGCTGTGTGGCTCGATGGTAAAAATATTTTATCTTAAAGGACTGAAGGAAATATTTTCTTCCAATAAAACGTTCTGCGCTCTTGGCTTTACATTGTTCTATGAAATCAAAGATTTTCACTTATGACCCCAGACACAGTCTTCCTATGTTCAACTAATTCAAGTACCATTTTCAGAGCTTTGACTTGCAGGTTATCTGAATGTACTCCCTGTAGGGAAAAACAATCACACTGCAGAAAGTCTTTTCATTTGCCATTTGATAACTGGCCTAACAAACAGATTTTACATTTTTTGAAATAATTCCAATGTCATTGTCATTAAGTTTTGATTTGCTTAGGAAAACTAAGATGAAAAACCCAAGGCTATTACATCTACATTACTGTCTACATTGCTTTTAAAGTCCTTGTGCTGTTAAGTTATAGGGCTTTGACTCTTGGGTCTAAAAAGGACTTCAAATCCTGCTAAACCTTAAACACTGACAGCAGTTAAAGCCTCATCTTCAGATCCAGAGAAGATGACAATCAAAATAAACTGTGTTAATGAGACACTGGGCCAAAAATTAAAACTATTCAACTTCTCTAGGCCCAGAGACTATTGCAGAAGAGGTTGGCATGTGAGATTGTAAAGGCTGATTTTGAGAGAGAAAATTGTTCAGAGTTTTTCTATAAATTAAACATTAAGATCAAAAGCACACTGATACAATACCAGCATCTGGGTCCCTGTGTCAGAGTAACAAGGTTTTCCTGGAGAATTATACCACCTTTTTTTTTTTGAGATAGAGTCTTGCTTTGTCGCCCAGGCTAAAGTACAGTGGCGTGATCTTGGCTTACTACACCCTCCACCATCTGGGTTCAAGCAATTCTCTCACCTCAGCCTCCCAAATGGCTGGGATTACAGGCTTCTGCCACCATGCCTAACTGATTTTTGTATTTTTAGTAGAGATGGGGTTTTGCCTTGTTGGCCAGGCTGGTCTTGAACTCCTGACCTCAGGTGATCCGCCTGCCACAGCCTCCCAAAGTGCTGGGATTACACGCGTGAGCCACTGTGCCCAGCCTATTTTACAACTTTATAAGTTATAGATAAATTATAACAATGGGAAATAGGCTGGGTGTGGTAGCTCATACCTCTAATCCCAGCATTTTGGGAGGCAGAAGCGGGTGGATCACTTGAGGTCAGGAGTTCAAGACCAGCCTGACCAACATGGTGAAACCCTGTCTCTACTGAAAATACAAAAAATTAGCCAGGCTTGGTGGCAGGTGCCTGTAATCCCAGCTTCTTGGGAG